CTCTTTCCATAAAATCACTCTATTCTGGTTCTCCTCTTTGCTCTAACTCTGTTGTTCATCCGGTACTTGAATCAGTTAATTCTCCTTCTTCTGCCTGCCTCATAAATGTTCAGAGTTCTCCCAGGCTCTAGCCTTAGCCTTTCCCTTTTCACTTCATATACCTTGCCAGGGCAGGGACTAGGGTGAGGTAAATAAGGCATCTGGGGCACAAGATTGAAGGAGGCACTCTCTCTCAGTGGGTGCAAGTACACTGATGTCCTACTTGCCTTGCTTCCTTCACCCTAGGCCAGCCCTGACACTTTCAACAGAATTTTCTGGACACTCGCTACTGCCAGGCACTGTACTAGGTGCGACAGTATCCACGCTTCCTGGATCCTTATACACACAGTTGTACCTATTGTTATTCTACAGTGAATTTCAAATATCCATCTCTAGTCAGATATATCTTCTGAATTCCAGATCATCTTTCTAGCTCCTTAACTGTATTCACAATATGGCTAAGGAGAGCTGATGTTTATTTAATGCTTCTGATGTGCTGGACACTGTGCTCAGTGCTTTGCATCCATTATTTCATTCCATCCTCACAGCAGTCTGATGAGATAGGTACTGTCATCTCATTTTTGTAAATGAGAAAAGTAGAGAAGTTAAGTAATCTGCCCCAGGTAACATACTAAATGTCAAAACCAGGATTTCAACTTTGGCAGTTAGACATATAGCCCATGCTCTTAGGTACTAGACTGTGTCCGGTAATCACATCAAATGCCCAACACATACTCTGTATACTTCTTCTAAACCTGTTCCCCTTCCATACCCAGATGCTTAATGTCACTTGAATTTCTTTCTCTCATCTCTGTCTGTACAGCTAATGTCCAGGTTCAGGCCTTCCTGGATGATTGTAATACCCTCAAAACCAGTCTCCTCTAGTCTTGCCACCCCTTCTTTGAATAGTTCATTACAATTTTGCCAGACTGAGCATCCAAAATCGGCTATCAGTGGTGTTCATGTTTACAACTCTGATGACTCCACATTGTTTTCTGTTGTCCAAACTCCTAGTTTGGGGCCTTCATTATCTGGTGAGCTGACCCTGCCTAGCTATTCTACCTCACTTTTCATATTCAATATTCAAAACATACTGAGTTCCTGAAAGCCCTCACATTCTTTGTGGATCTGGATCTTTGCACGTGAATGATCCTCTCCATATAGAATGCCCTAGTTTAGACATTTAAAGAGAGTGAATCTACTCATTTTTTAAGACCCAGTTCAAAATATTGTCTCTCTGTCAAATGTTTCCCCACTTCATGTATTTCTTTCTCTATGCTCCTTTAGCAGCTGGTATACATTTTATCACATTATATTGAAATCTCTCTCCTGACTTCATGGTGTTTTAGGTGAAAAAAAGAATCTGGTTTATCCCCATGTCTCTAGTACCTTGCCACAGTGATTACCTGACACCATAGTACTGACTCAGTATTGTAAAGTTTTGTAAAGTATATGGACCAAAGTTGTCTTTCATTCGTTCATTCATTTTCTTCATTCCTTCTGAATGAAAGACATCTTTGGTCCCTATACTTTACAAAACCGAACTGCTTTCACAGAACAGCTTTGATTTCAAAATCCAAATTGCTGCAATGATACCTACGGATAGCAGCCATGAAAATGCAAGAGCTCAGTAAATCATTCATAAAACTGCTTTTTGAAGCCAATGACAGTTTAATAGCAGCAGAAAGTGTTGCATCAATAATGTCCATCCTTAAGAAAATCCCCTGGCTCTCTCTTCAAGGGCTATTATCTTTGACTCCAGTGACTCCACAATCATACCGCCTTTCTCCTCAGTATTTTCTAAGGGTCATATATCTAACCTCTTTTCAAGTTTACCTCTTTTAGTCATTATTTCCCAAGCTCTGAAATCCCAGTCCCTCTTTTTTTATTCATATCTGTCCTTTTCCTAACCTCTGAGGTCTTCAAGGGGGCAGTAGCCCTCTTAAAATCTCCATCATTTCACCACTTATCCTGAAGGAAGGGCTTGGATCCTCTGTCCTAGATCTCACACTGATGAGACATGTATAAAGACTTAGTTTTATGGCCTACTTTGTGGGTTTTCCAGCTAAATTTCTTTATTCCTGGACTCTACCCACTTCGCTAGTTCGATTTAACCTTTGCATTCTTGTATCATTATTTCTGCATTTCTGTCTGACATCATGTCTGGAGTGGGAACTATGGGGCCAGTCTGCTTTCTGGGGACACTTAGGTTTGGCACCCCTGATCCTGGCACTGTCAGCTAATAGATTTGATTACAGTAGGCTGACAAGTAAGTGTGATAAATGCTTCCTGTGAGAACATGCTGTTTATCTAAATGGAGTAATTTCTTCCCTGTATGCCTTCCTTTGGGGAATGTATAAAGTCACTTGAAGCTGTGAAAAAAACCAAGCGATATACAATACGTTAACTAAGTTTCTATTCTTTTCATCAATTCTTGGAGTGGCTTTGCTCTCCTAAGAGCTCAAGTGAGTATTGAGTTTCCCCATGTATTATCTGGGAGATGTTAGACTCAGATGTTTGGATGTTTAGATGTTTAGACTCAGAGACAAAATAATTTCTTTCGAATGACATGAAAAACATTAGTGATACATAACAACTTACTAATAAAAAGATTGTTTTAACTAAAACTTGAAATTGAAGGTATATAATTGTTATGGATTTTTAAAATTAGAAGCATGCCTTATTTTATAGCTCTAAAAATTCCAAACACATCATCTATCTATCTTAAAATCAAACTTCTTGTATAGACAAAACCATTTTTGTGACTTTAATGTTTTCAATCTTTATTTCAAAGTGGTGAGTAAAAATAATTAAAAAGATAGTTAATTTTTTCTCCATATTCTGCTGCTTCCTTGTTAAAACATTTTTCTACTTCTAATTTTTTTAACCAAGGAGATGAATGTTTTCTAAGAGGAATTACATTATCAAATCATAAATCCAACAATATCTATTCAAAAAAATCACCATAAGTATTGTAAATCTATTTAGTTTAAAAATGAAGAAAACACAGCTACCAGAGAACCAGTACTTGCCAACCCAAATGCTGACTACTAGAATCTTAAACACTGCTGTCAAATCCTGTATTCATTATTTAGTGAAGAAGACAGCACCAGATTTCTATATCTAAAAGACAAGCATACTCAATGTTTCTTTTAAAAAGAAAACAAACCTGTACATTCAGCACTGAGTAGATATCCTAAAAGGCAGATGATGATGAGGCCTGGCGATTCAGCCATGATCATGTTCAGGCACTGCATAACCTTTGCTAGTAGATTATGCAAGTAGAAAGGTTGACCAATTATTCCAAAGTACAAACTAGGCTGTATTTACTTCTGGGAAATAGTGTCCATCTCCCTCAGTGAGTCTTTAGGCTATTTGCAATGGCCTTTTGAGTTAAGTGAAGAAACTAGGCAGTGGCCACCATTAAACTTCACCAGTGATTCCACTGGCTTCTGCCACTGTGACTGATTAAAATAGGAGGAGAAATAATGGCTACAGTTGTGGTGGCAGCAAAATTCATCAGTGGGATTCATCTTATCCTTGTCAGGGAGCATTGCTGTCATATGGTTTAAAGGTAAACAGATGGAAAGAACAAAGTCATTTGATCACCCACCTTAAACCTCCCTTCCTAATGCTGACATACCTTGAGTCACCTGGTGGATCTTTTATGTTTCTCCTCATAATAGGAGTTTATAAAGTTTGTTGTGCCATATATAAATATAATAAATCATATGGACCCTGTCTCAGAACACATGTATGCATGTGTGAATGTGTATGTATGCAAATATATATTATGTATATAAAATAAATGTATGAACATATAATAGTTCATATTAATATATTATGCCACTTCACATATAACATAAAACTCATAACAGTACACCAATATTTACCTACCATTCTTTGTGCTGTTATTGTGATACCTTTTATTTCTACATGTTAGAAACCCTATATTACATTATCATTTCTGCTTTAAGCAATCTTTCAAAGAAATTTTAAAATGAGGAGAAATATTTTATATTTAGCCACAAATTTACCATTATGATATTCTCCATTTTTTTGTGTTGATCCAAGTTTCATTCTGTTATAAGTTTTCATCATTCTGAAGAATTGTCTTTAATAATTTTGATGGTGTAGGTCTCCTTATGATGAATTTTCCCAGCCTTTGTTTATTTGACAATACCATTTTACTTTCATTTTAAAAGAGTAATTTGGCTACATACACAATTGCAGTTGACAGTTTTTTCTTTCAGCACATTAAAAATGTCATCCTATTGCCTTCCGACATATATTTTTTTCCTCATGAGAAGGCAGTAAATATTATTATCATTAATTTTCAGCAATTTGACTACAATGAGCCAAGGTATTCTTGGGGATCATTGAGATTCTTGGATCTGTGGTTTGACATTTTTATTAAAATTAATAAAATTTTTGGATCTGATTTTTCAAAATTTTGTCTTGAAATAATTATAGAGTCACAGGAAACTGAAAGAACGGTACAGAGAGGTCCCATATACCATTAACCCAGTTACTCCCAGTGTTTACATCTTACATAAACATAGTATAATATCAAAACCAGGTAATGGACATGTGATACTAATGTATATGTGATACTAAGTGATTTTATCACATGCGTAGATTTACGTAACCACCACTACAACCAATGTACAGAATGATTTTATTACCACAAAGCTCTCCCTTGTGCTACTATTTTATAATCACACCCCCTTCCAGCCTCCCAATTATCCTTAACCCTGGGCTCTAATAATCAGTTTTCAGTCTCTATAATGAGAATGTTATATAAATGGAATCATAGACTATGTGAGCTTTTGAAATTGGTTTTCTTCATTCAGCATAACACCTTTGAGATCTATCTAGGTTGCCTCATGTTTCAATAGTTAATTCCTTTTTATTGCTGAGTAGTATTCCATGGTGTAGATATACCAGACTTTAACTATTCACCTACTGGGGGGATATTTTGATTGTTTCTAGTTGTTTCTAGTGCAGTAATGTGTTATGAACATTCATGTACAGGTTTCTATGTGGATGTAACTTTTTAAATCCTCTTGGATAAATGCCCAGTAATGTAATTTCTGGGTCATATAGTAGTTGAATGTTTAGTTTTTAAATAAACTGTCAAACTGTTTTCCAAAATGGCTGTGACACTTTCCATTCCCACCAGCAATGGATGAGTGATACAGTCTCTCATTCATTGAAAGTACTTGGTATTGTCACTATTTTTTATTTTAGACATTATGATAGGTATGCGTTTTAATTTGTATCTCCTTAATGGTTAATGGTATTGAACATCTTATAATTTACTTATTAACTATCTGTATGTTCTTTTCAGTGAAGTGTCTGTTCATTTCTTTTGCCTATTTTCCAATTAGACTGTTTGATTTTTTTTAATTGTTGGATTTTTAGTGTTTTTCATATATTGTAGATATGAGTCCTTTGTCTGATATATGGTTTGCAGATATTTTCTCCAAGACAGTAGCTTCTCTTTTCAAACTCTTAACTGTGTCTTTCACAGGGGCAACGTTTTTAATTTTTAAAAAAATTCTTATGTAGTTCAATTTATCATTGTTTAATGGATCACACCTTTAATGTCACATTTAGAACTCTTCACTAATAATCCTGAAACTTTTTCCCATTAAAAATGTTTCATAGTTTTAAGCTTTATATTTATATCTGTGCTCCATTTTGAGTTAATTCTTATATAGGTATCAGGTTTAGGTTGAACTGCTGCTGCTGCTTCCTCCTCCTCCTCCTCCTTCTCCTCCTCCTCCTCCTCTTCCTCTGCTTCCACCTCCTCCTCCTCCTCCTCGTCCTTTTTTTTGCCTGTGTATATCTGATTCTTCCACTACCATTTGTTAAAAAGACTATCCTAACCGACAGCTAACATCATACCCAGTGGGGAAAGGCTAAAAGTGTTTTCCTTAAGATCAGTAACAAGACAAGGATGCCTACTTTGACCACTCCTCTTCAACATTGTATTGGAAGTCTTAGCCACAGCAATAAGATAAGAAAGATAAATAAAAGGTATCCAAATTGGAAAGGAAGAAGTA